GGAATCCGGACGAGTCGCCTCGATGACCACACCAGTTTACTCACCAGATGACGACAGATCAGCGCACAGATCTACGCTCTTTCGCCTCGAGTACTCTTGAGTTAAGAAGTGGGGACTCCTGATAGAGTATATATACTTGGACCCCCGGGTCTCACGACTATTGAGCCTAGACAGTGGCCCACATACGCTTACCGCATGTCATTTGTATTATTGTACAGTTCATATATCATTTGTATATACTATATTATACTTTTATGTAGTCGGGCCTATCGTGCCCATATTAGTGGCCCAAGCCCGCTATTTCTTTATAAATACTCTTCTTGGAGCTCTTGTAAACCTAAGTCACAAATTCATCAATCTATACAACACTCCACTATTCATCTTCTTCTCTACTCCCTCAATCTCTTCATTTTATATACTTTGGATACCCTATTATCCATCAAAGGACCAAATATGTTTTGTCCTAAAGTTGGACTGATTTAGTGCTATTAAGATAATGAAAATTTCCCTAAATAAGAGTACATGAGTCATATTTCAGGAAGAAAACAATGTAACTCCTATTTCATAAAATTTGCAATATTTTTCTCTTATTTATGATTATTTTTAGGAATCCTTGTGATGGGAAAAACTGAATCCTAATCACTAAAGCTATGAGAATTAAAATTCGCCAACTCAGTCATCAATAATGAAGAGTGGGGACCTTCATAGCTAAGGCCATGTGGTTGGCTATCGTGCCATTGGAAGTTCGGATTGTGGTACATAACACTTTTAACCTGCTCAAATACTTGTCCTCCCCTAAAGGCGTGACCTTTGGATAGTCTCTGAAATGGCAAGTTTGTTAAAGAGCTTTGATCTAGTCAACATGTGGGCAGAGGAAGAAACAAACAGAATATGTTTATTCCTTTAGAAGTTATATGCTCTTGAGTTTCATACTAACAATTAAATATTAATATGAAATGCAAAATGTTATGCTCTATTTTTCTCGATTCACAGCCATCCGTGAGTTCTCAATCTATATATAATGAATACTACACGTTCAAAAAATCATGACCACTTTATCATACTTAATCCAAGTAAAATCAAGGACATCTTCGCAAAAGGATAACACCGGAGTAATGGAACCTCTATAGATATTGAAATGACAAAATTTGAGTTATCACAAACACTCTCCCACGGGGCTAGAGGTATAACACAATGAGTCGCATACTTCATCACCCCCTTGGAATGGTAAACAAATGAGATCTGGGGTTGCACATACGCGAGATCGAGCTTATTTCCACACGGAAAAGTGTTACTCAATACAACCTCACCCCTGGGGGGACAAACGCATGCCACATAATTGTGTGGTATGTGTTTAGAGTTCAAGGTTTATGATTTACAAGATTACCCATTTTTTGACTTATTGTTGTTATAGTTGAGTGAGAACTAGTCTCAATCAGAAGAAGCTCAATGGAAGAGGCTAGAAGTTGAGGTCGAAACCACATAATGAAGAAAGGAGTCGAAAGCAGAAGCCGAGGACGAGGGATGAGACCTTGGTTAAAGGCCTCAGTGACTGGTGGAAGAGGTTTTTTGACCTCGGTTAAATGAAGGCTACTCTCAACCATTTTTTGGTGACTGGTGGTCGTTGGAGTTGAATAAAGGCCGACCTCAGCCATATCATTAGTGAATGGCGTCCATATTGCAGTTGAATAAAGATATTCCTCAGTCATTTTTATTGAATGACATCCATTTCATGTGAATGAAAACGACCATAGCTATTTCTTTAGTTAATGGATTCCATTGCAGTTGAGTGAAGATTGGTTTTAGCTAGACAAGGTCAAACGGTCCAGGCCAGAAAATGAGGCAAACACCTTATTAAGGTTGAAGGCGCAGAACAAAGGAAAAACTCTAAGGATGAATGTAGAGGAACACATAGAGGATATCTATTGTTCTATGATGGATCAAAGATCATTAGATTGAAAATGGTATTCACATTCTTGCTTAACTTTGAGGCTTTAATGTACTTTTCCCTCTTCACTGTGAGTTTTTTTCTTAATGGGGTTTTTCCTCATAAGGGTTTGATGAGGCACCTCCTAATTCAATGGTGTTGGTTTCTCAGCCTAGGGAGGAGTTAATGAATCTAAAGAAGAGCCATGGGTGGTGGCCCTTCATACAAAGGTGCCACTACTCTTTTTCATTTCACCTCGTCTTCACTCACTTAAAGGAGTGGGGCATTTGAGGACATGAGACTTAACAATCCCATCATAAGATAGAGTAAGATGGGAGACCTCTTGAGCTCGGTCATGAAGGAGTCAAGTTTAGACAAATAAAGCTAGATGGACCTTGGAAACAACATTGCATGTATGTCAATAAATCAACCAAGGAAGATGGTTTTAGAAAGTTATACTCTATTTCACCTTGAATACTCCGCCACACAAAGGGGATGATTCAAAACGACATTATGGGGATGTTTGTATTTCGGCGGTGGGCAGTGAACACGCTGCATTTGGCAGTGTTTGCAATTAGAAAAAATGGTGTTTGGGGTTAAAAAGCTATTACCCAAACACCCCCAATATGTTTAATGTATTTGCAGAAATGCCACCAATCACCATAGCTAATTTTTTGATTCGTTGTAGTGTGCATTTTACTTGAAGTAATACACAAATTTGAAATTGAATATACATATATATGTATGTGTATGTATGTGCATACGTACGTATCTACATATGTAGGTATGTATATATGTATAACAAGCTAGATAACCGGAAAACCAAACCAGCTCTAATTCTCTAAATGTCTCGAAGCATGTTTTCCCATGCATGCCCAATTAATTTGCATTCTTTGGTTTGGTTAATGATTCTAATTGAAGGTTTTACAATTGGAGTGAATTGATTTTGGACGATAAAATGGACTTTGATCCTTTAATACAAAATCATCACATTATTTCATTCCTTCCCTAACTAATCCACATTTTATCAATTTCACTCGTCACTAACTAAATGAGACAAAAGTTAGGCACAACATTTAATTGGGCCGTAGGAAGGCTGACATGTTTACATTTATACAATGGAATCATTGGGCAATAATCGAGCCCACATATCAGCTGCACCTTTAGAGCATCCACAATGCCAATGAGTGATCCCCTCCTCTCTCTTCCACATCATTTTCCACAAGAAACTTAATTCCTTCTAACCTATCATACTTTCACCCCACTATGGTGACCTGGGTCACTTAAAATTTGTGCATTCTCTCTCCATATTTTTGGTATATTCTACCATTATAAATTTATATAATTTGATAAAGGAATATAAAATTCACATTTTACTCACTATAATTTATTGTTGAGATTGTATCTAGTTAGAGAAGGAGTTGGATCTATTTTCAAAGAAAAAATATTCTAAAACAGATAAAATAAAATGCAAGAGGGAAAGAAATGGTAAATTTCGAAGTGACTAAACATATCATTCATTGGTCTATATTTATAGAGAGAAAAATATCTAATTTTTTGGTGTAATCTTTTTTTACAATAAATTAAATTTAATCAATAATAAATGAAATTAGAGAATGTTGGGATGTTTGATAAGGTCGGTGATTTCATTCTAAATTAAAAAGCCACATGGCATTTTTTAATTGGTTAATCATATGCCTCCTCCAATTTTTTGTCAGATCCCATATGTGAGCTTCCATGTTGATCGATCAACCTAGTGACCTCCCATAGTGGGGATTAAGTGGGATTTTTTTTAATCCCCAAATGACCACCCATAGCAGATGCTCTTAGGATACTCATACTTTAAATACTTTAAATTAAAGGCGACTAGGCGAGTTAGGGGTGTTTGGAACTGATTCTGCTTCTACTTCTTTTTTAAAAGTAGAAGCAGAATCAGAATCAGTTTTCAGAAGCTGGTACCTCTCAGAAACTGATTCTGAGAGTAAATTAGAGCTCCAGAAGTGCTTCTGGAATTTCACCCAAACACTTCAGCTTCTGCTTCTACTCCCTGAAGGAACAGAATCAGTTTTGAGAATCAGATCCAAACACCCCATTAGAAAAATATTTCGTTCCAATACAATATGGTGGGGAATAAAATGTATTAAGAATGTTTTTACTTGAATTGAAATTTTATGTTCTGATATTCAAATTTGATATGATTTAATATGATCTATTTAAATATGATTTGATCAAGTCTAATATATTATGATATGGTCTATTTAAATTTGGCCTGATTTGATTTGATATAATCAAATGGATTGAACGACCACTCTTACCCCAATAGTTGTTCCTATTTTCCTAAATGTGAGGGGTAAATTTAAGATAAAAGCTAATATAAAGTACACTTTTATTATGTTCAATTTCTTCTAACAAATTAGATGAGATTAAACCAAACGGAATCACTGCACCATTAGTCTAGACAAAACATGATCAAAATTAGATTAGTATTGTGGAATTGCCCTTCATTCAAAACTAAATTAAACGGTAGTTTCATCTCTTTATTTTTTTTCCACTTTTTCCTTTCTTTAATAACACAATTCTCAATAATAAGTCAATTTCTATTAAAAAGAAAATTTGTAAATAGGACCAAAAACATGGATAAAGTTAAACATAGGATTATCATTATTATATTCTCAAAATAGGATTCATTCAATCATATTTTGAGAAGTTTTGACCAACTTATTCTTTAAGAGAAAGTAAATAAATAAACCATCCAACTATTAGCGATTTTATAATCAAGCTCTTGAATCAGAAGACTTGCAAGTATATACCTTTCAACTCATTGAAAATTAAGCTATCAAATCCTTTTACAGTAAATTCTCATGTGAAAGTCATCATAAAAAGGACTATTATTGCTTAATTTCTTATGAATTGAGAATGTATTTGCAAGTTCTCAAGTTCACGGTCTGATTGCAGAGTCGGTGATGATTCAATGAATAATATCACCTGAATATGCTTAGTCCTATTTTTAACTTTAACTTTAACTTATCAATGTTTTAGTGATTGACCAATTTCTATTAAACAATTTGCATACCAGTGTCGTCCTGTTGTTGGGTACCCTGTTCTTTCTCGTGATTTTCCATGCATTTCAGCAGATACTTGAAGGTCTCCGTCTCACACGGAATGGTCAGAGCACCACTATGGTCAAACCCAAACTCCTCCTCCACCTTCTCCAGCAACACCTTGAACAACGGATCACTGAGGTAGCTAGTCGGAATGATGAACCGCCGGAGCTCCGGCCCGACGTAAACGGCCAAATAGCCTCTCGGGACGCCGGACGGCGGGTCAGGGCTCTGGCAACTTTCTTCATCCGAATCGCAATAGGAGCTGCAGCTCATCAGCCTCTTGCATACCGCAGGAGATATCCCACTGTACGGAGGCGGCGGCGGCGGTGGCTGTTGGGAATTCGCCGGAGCAGCGGAGTGATCGCCGTTTTTGGGTCTCTTCTGACCCAGAGTGACGCTCTGCCACTTGTTCAGAATCTCTTTCAGCCTCACTATCTGTCGGATTCCGGTGACCTTGCCGCCGCTTCCCCTGTCTTCCATCTCTAGATCAAGAATATACAGTTCTTTTGTCTGTCTCCAAGATTGTATCTTTCATCACATCCGATCAGGCCTGTTAAAACCTGGTTTGAGAAACAGATGAATCTTACCCCAGTTGTTTAACTTTCCATATTAGGAATCCCGTGAATTTAAAAAAGATCTAGAATTATTAGTGGAAAGTTCAAAAGTCAAAACTTTGGTTAATCAAGAAACATTTCATTTCATCTAAAGTTGAAAGTAATTAATTAATCATTTAAAGACAATATTTTACAGAGATCTGTTGCCTTAGAGCATCTTCATTCATAATCTTTAATAATCATTTTTTTCTATGATTCTTACCATCTAAATATTGTTACGTAATTAATGTTTAAATAATCTCAAAATTCGGTTATGTCTCTCAATCATCATATTCAAATAATCTGCTTTTTCTCTGCCCTTCATTAACCTCTATTACATATACTTTTCAAATAATCCAAAAATAATCCGGATTGATATTTTGATCTCAGATTATTGTACCAAATAATCTCATTAAATAATTCATATCAATGATAATTTTCTAAAAAAATTGCCACATCATCGATTTAATCTCTTAATAATCCTACCAATGAGGATGCCCTTAGAATGAAGGCATCTTCATCCATGAGACTGTAATTAAGAATGAAAATGGTGATGAGGTGGATTATTTATAACAGCGTGTTTGGGTGATAGCAATTACTTTATGGGATTATTTTACATAATAATTTAGGATCAAAATATGATCAAAATTATTTACTTTTAGGTTATTTAAAAAAATAGAGTCAATTAGTTCATACAGGACCACATTAAAGATCAGATTTTTAGGAGATAATAGTTGAAGGTAATTAATATAGGAGGTGTGGATCATATATAGAAAAATTATATTGGAATAATTTAAGGTGGCACCCCACTTTTTGGATCATATTTGATTTTACTCTCCATTTTTAGAATTATTAATGAATGCAACCCATAAGACAAACTGACAAAGGTTATCTTCGCAAAACTAAAGTCGTTTTAACAAAACCTTGACCATTCGCAAACCTCGGTCCATTTGGGTGACCCAGGGGCCCAATGGGTGTCTCAAGAGCCCAATGGGCGGCCCAAAAGCGCAATGAGTGATCCAGTTGCATGTGGGCCGGAATCCAAGTCATGAGGTGGGCCTATACGGTACGAAGGCACGATGTTTCATGACTGGATAGCGCCGAAAGTAGATAATGGTAGTCTATAGATGGGTGAGTGATTCAGGACCAACGAGAAAATCCAGTAAAACACTCTTAACATGGACTGGTAAAACCCAGGACCAAGAAAGTTCAAGCTAACCCTTATGGGTATGAGAGGGTGACTCAAGACTGGGAAAATGCAACTTAACCCTCATAGGATGGGTGAGTGATCTAGGGCCAAAAAATCCAATTGGAACATTCCTAGTATGGGCTATTTAATAAAACCTAGGACCGAGAAAGTCCAATTTAATCCTTTTATGTATGAGAGAGTGAGCAAGGGCCAGAAAAGCTCAATATAACACTCACTCGGTACGAATATAGGAGAGATTTTGCGACTTAGATATTTGGGGTATATGTTCAGTGAAAGGGGTGGAGTCTGAGGACTACATCCGTCTTCTGTTTGAAAAAACAAATGACATTCGGGTCAGGTATTTTACAAGTATATACTATGTGTATTATCTTGAGGTGAGGTGATTTAGATTATGATCTTATATATATGTATAAAAGAGAGATGCTCAGATAAACGGAGCCAAAAAAGAATGCACGTTGTGAGCTCCTTCTATATTTTAATTCAAAGATGATCAAAATATTGCACGTTTTTTGTATTTAGCGTTTAGCGGATAACAGGTTATAAATAGCGGATTTAGTTTAGCGAGTTTGACTAGCAAAATAAATTGGTGGGTTGTCAAAATATGTTTGATAATTTAGCTGTTTGGTAATAAAATTTAGTAGAAAATGACATATTTCAAAACACTAACTTGAAACTCTCCTATTTGCAGTGTTTCTATTTTGCGGTTCCGTCCAAAAAACGCTAGGGCCGAACAACTATTTACCAAACAACGTTTTCATTTATTGAAAATGCTAAAAGAGTCAAACTGTATTATTTTAGCTGAAATGTCATTTTCCAAACACCCCATTTTTCATTATATCTTAGCCATTTTTAACATGTTTAAAAGAACATAAACATCAAGTACCTTTGTATTCACCGGGACGCTAGATCATAGGCCTGGAGTTGTACGGGGAGATGAAGGCCGGAAAATTGACCGTGAGAGATGGAATTAAATACCTTCATTCAATTCATCAAATGATCAATTCTAAATATAACAATGATCAGAAGGAAGTTGAAATACATTCATATTGATGTATATAGATATAAGAGATCTATAGGAGGAGTTCCTGAGCCACGTGAAAGGGAGGGCTTTGTCGGATGGGCGTTACATGTGATTTCTTTAGAAAATAAGAGATTTTAGAAGCGCAAAAAGTCGATATTTTTTTAATGAAAGAATTCAATATCTAATATATGTATAACTATTTAATTAATTAGTGGTTCACGTAATCCAGATTCCAGACAATATTTTCTCTCTCTACATGCTTCTCCTCCGATCCTCCTCTCATCTCCTTCTACATAGTGATTCAATTCACAATTCCTATGCCAATGCATATCCACTAGTATGCTTATTATTAATTCCACACAAACATTTTATAAGTCATACTCCGTTTTATCTGGTCTTTGCACAAATTTTGAATGTCATTTGGTGTAAAAGTAATTGGCCTCAAATATAATACTTTCTATGTCTCGTAAAACTAAATTAAAATTGACTTGCACGTAAAATAATAAAATAAAATTTGTATAGTTGTGATGTGTGTAGAAGAAAGTGAAATAACATCAAGCACACACGAAGTATTTGTTACTATAAATGAAAATGAGATTTTTTTTTGAAATGGCTAAGTAAGAAAATTGGCGATGTTTGATGTGTAATATTTTTGTCAATTCTTACCAAGTTGACACCATTTTTGGGAACTTTAAAAACGTAAAATTAAAATTATGTTTTGGTTACTTTATTTTTTTTTTCATTTTATTACTGGGGCAGGGTTTAGGACAGCTCCTTGATGGGGAGTTTTAATGGTGATGTTGGCACTAATGCATCATTGTAAGCAACTAATAATGCACTTCAAGTTTGCACTATATGCATTATATTCATTTTTTGGTGACTTTAGGTGTGGGAAAATGTGCAGTGAGAATGTCTGCTTACTCTGACTAATTCGAGTTAGAAGCAGAAGAGTTGTGGAGACTCGATTCTTGTAATCACTGTTAGTGAAAAGAGTTTTCATAATATTCCTTTTGGGGAAGGACAAAATTTTTATCCCTTCCGATCCAATGTGACCCTTAGATACTCTTTACACAACCCCCCATTCTCCTCTTGTGTCTATCAACCGCTTCATCAAATCAAAAGGTACTTCATAATGAGCTAAAAAAAATCTCTTCATTTATTATTCATAACATTATATTTAATAATTCTCTTCCCTCAAAGGTAGTAGTTTATTTTGACTAATAAAATGTTTCAACCAAAAATAAAAACGATTTTCCAATGATTAATTATTTATTATAAAATTGCAAGCAAGTCTCCCAAATCATTTGTGTCTTGCTGCTACAATCGCACACTGTGTGGGTGTTTGTATTTTGGCGGATTGGAGGCAACACGCTGCAAAATGCAGTGTTTGCAATTAGAAAAATATGGCGTTTTGGGGTGAAAAGCTATTACCTAAACACCCCCCATATGTACTTGTAACATTATAGTCAGCCTCGGTGATTCAATTATAAGTAGACAAGGAACCACAGATGATTTTTCATTTTTGTGAAATTCCATGCCTTAAGGCCTTCTTTTAATTTCATAAGATATTTTTCCTTACCATTAACAGTATTGAGGCTCAAGTATATTCTCACAAAAATTTTCTACTTTGACACATCGATAAAAATGTTCTAAAAAGATAATAAAATTGGAAATTATGAAGGTCACTATCAGTTTATTATGTCTCATTTAATTTATAAAAAGGTTTGAATTTTGTAATCGAAAAATTTTGTCAAAATCCAACGACTTTTCCAACCGTCGTCACCGGTAGTGGTAGTTGGAGGTTGTAATGGGGCACGGGCTAACAATGGGATAGGAATTAGAGGTAAAAGAAATGTTTCTCAAGTAAACAAAGTTTAATCACAACTTAAAAATGTAAATTATTCATATTTTTATCTCCCAAAATTGTAGAGGGAATAATTTTTATCATCTATTAATACAATTACCGTTAGGGGTTATTTTAATTACAATTTCCACTATAAGTGAATAGATATACGCAGTGTTTGAACCATCCTAGATCAAAGGTGTTCAAGTGATCCAAATAAAAACATATAAAGATTAAATTAGGTTACGTGCAAGCAGTGCCGATCCTACCAAAACTCAGGCCTGAGTCGAACTTCATAAAAGGCCCTATACATTATTTATTTATTTTTACTATAATTTTCTTTGAAATTGAATATTAAACATCATAAAAACGACTAATTAAATAAAAATCGCATTAATGTCAAAGTATTCAGGTACTACGTAACAAATTAAGTACAACTCGACGGAGAGTTTTAGCTGCAAAAGTATTAATTAATTCGGCATAATCTAGATGTTCAATAAATTTCTTCTCAACAAATATATTTGTATTTTGGTAGCTATAAATCCTTATAAGGCTTTAAATAGAAAAATATTAGAAATTTAGAAGCTAAGCAAAGAAGATGAAAGATTAACGTTGTTGTTGATCGATTAGTCTAGGCCAGAACGAAAGAATCGCAAATCGCCTTAAACCCCTTATTTTTCCATTTGTGCACTGATGGCTATTCCGCTTCTAAACTGGCCGAACAAAAATAATTGGGGACTTTTTGGGTTTTCCTTTGGAATATTACTGGAAATAAGATTAACAAAGTTTGAAAATTCTAAAATAAAACTGCCATGTTTTTATTCACAAAATAGGACTAATTACTGCCATGTTTTGGCTGTACCAGACTTCAAACATGTCAGTAATTACTCCTATTTTGGGGGAAAAAACATGACAGTCCTATTTTGGAATTTTCAAACTGTTTTAGTCCTATTTCGGGAACTTTCCCATTTCCATTTTGAAGTACAACAGCGGACAAAGGTTAGGCAAAGGAAGCCCAATATGTAAATTTAATACATATATATATTAAAGAAATATCTGAAATTGTGGGCCCTAAAATTTTGACAATTTTTTGGACCCTGAGGCAAGTGCCTCATCTGCCTCATGCACCGCACGGCTCTGCGTGCAAGAAACGGGTCTAAAAAAATTAGACCCCAAAGTGGCAAAGTGTGAGTTCTATTAATAGTGTTTAAAAAAAACAAAACAAAAACAAAACTAAAGAATAAAGCGATGACATGGTGTGCATCCCTCGTGTTTAGTTTATAGTACAAAATCCACCATACCTTATGGTATTGTCTGATTCTTTTCAACTTTTCTTATAAAACTAAAATGCACCATCACACAAAAAAGAATAACACCATGTCTTTGAATCACAATATATTTTTTGATACATACATTTGTTTACTATTAATAATGAGTTTAAATTATGGTTTATGTAAATCAATGATGTTATATTTTCTACTCAGTTACATTATACAAGCACATTTGAAAATGAACTCTAAAAAAATAATAGTGGCTCAACCACCCACAATGCACAATTGAATGTGGCAGTTCTTTTGGGAAGCTAGTCAAGGTGCAGGCTAGCTTCATCTTTGAATGCTGTATTGGTATATTAAAGTGCTATACAAACAACGATCTCAATTTGCTATGAAATAATAAACGAACATATCGAGTTGAACCCACCCCATACTGAAGAAAATCATATTACAAATCGATTACATACAAGAATTGCAGGTATGCCTCCCCCTAACTAAACTAAATGAAAAAAGGTATCGGTTTTGTGTGTCATCCATGTATAGGGGTCATGCTCATCTTCTTTGTATCGTTCTGGTTTTATCGGATATCCCCGAAGGGCCCGAAAAAGGTATCCATTAAAAAATAGTTATGTACTACGGGGAACTTCTAATTGTGAACCCATAGTTGAATATTTTTTATGAAGTTTCCCTTTCAACTGTCTAATCTTAGCATCTACTCTAGCCGTGAACCCAATCTTGGTCTTTGATCTTGCTTTCGACCGCTCTCTTCTCCACATATTCCGATCCTCGACATCTTTCCCTAAGTATTTGATTTCTTGAATGATGTGATGATCCATAGGGTTGAAAGATCTCTGGTAGGCAATGTGGACAAGGTATGGGAGATTACATGTAATACTTGTCAAGAAAGTAGTGAGCCAATATATTGGTGCGGGTGCAAGAGCCTCTGTAAGGATTTTATAGGCATCTTTTGATATTTTTGGGGACATTTCACCATAGACTAAGAGTAAAATGTACCAAAAGATGATGCTGCCCCAAATGAGTACATGTTGGATCCACGTGAAGTGACTCATTGTTAGAGCAATCTGGCAGTTGACTGCCCAGACAACGCTAGTGAACATGGCAGTCCCCATGGCCGTTAAGTCAGCAGTCTGGCCTCCAGATCGGAAGGCTTGGTCATAGAAAATGACGAGGTTGAGGAAGAAGATGACGAGAGACGTATAGACTCCGTTTCCCATCCACCCGAATATTCTGTTCCAATCGAAGAATAAGTTTTTGGGTCCTTGCTGATATAATGCTGGAAACTGCAAAGTTTGGCTTTTGAGCTTTAGTGCCCAGTTTGTTTGGTACATTCTTCTACAAATACTAACTTATTTGACAGTATTAGCTGACCACAGTAGTAATAATAAAGGAAAGTCCGCAAATACACACCTAATTGATCTTGAATGATTGTGTAAAAAAGTTAAAAAAACACAAACAAAAACTATTTTAATATATCGAGTATAGAAGTTCCTAGACATGGTAAAGGGTCAAGGAAGGTTATTCATATAACCATACTTGCCCCGTTAGATAATTTCTGCATCATACAACTTGTCTAAAATCCAACTCCATCACTCCATGGAAACTTTTATTCATATAATCATACTTACCTGTTAGACTTGCATTGTCAAATCTATATAATATTTGAATAAGAAATTTCCCTAAATAGGAATGAAAACGTTTGAGAATCCCAAAATAAGAGTACTATGTTTTTATTCTATAAATGTGAGTAATTACTCTCTGGCTTGGAAAATATTGTCGTGTTTAAAGCCTCATAATGTCAAACTATGGCAGTCATTACTCCTATTTAGGAAGTATCAACATCGTACTCCTATTTTAAAATTCTCAAACATTCTTACTCCTATTTCGGGAATATTCCCATATAAATATCACATTATTATGCATGTGTCTTTGTGTGTAAGTGCATCTCCCATACTACTAAAATATATTTTAACGTGACCCTTTAATTTTTTTGTCCTGACATTTAAGACCAAAAAGGGCCAGTACACATGTTTATAAAATGTTAGAGGCCAATTTGTCCCTCAAACTAAACCTTAGAAGATGTTTTGCAGCTTTTCAGATTACAAATTGGGGAGCATGGTAAGTATTTTGATCCTTCACTTGTTTTGGATAATGAGATGAGGTCTCTGATTTTCAAAGAAGTGAAAGTCAGCCCCTTGATTACTCACAATATGTCATTTGAGTTACTCACAATATGAAATTTAATTTTCATCTATCTTCTTTTTAATCTTCTGAATAATGATGGTAGCATTAGAGTGTGAGAGATTGTATAAACAACTTTTTAGGTGAATGAGAAATTGCATTTTTCCAAATTAACATTGAAGAAGTATGTTGCAAGTATTTTGAACCAGGTTTTACCCCACAAAAGAGGGTCTTGAGGTGTGTGAGGAAGCATAGAATTATAGATTAGCTAATAGCAGGGAAGGTGTTATAGGGGTTAACTAACCTGTAAGCAGACTTGCGAAGACACATCCTGCTCAAATACTCCAAGTGAAATGACAGGCAAGGAAGTAAGAACCACATTGAACAATAGCATATACCAATCATGATAAATTGACTGCCCAGAGAAGCCAGTAAATGCCTCAAAGTAGAAGAGTGTGAGGCCAAATGCAATATTTTTGTAGAAGAAGTAGCATATCTGAGCAGACAAGGAAATAGAGCATCAGTGATATCAAACCAAAAAGCATTGTCACATGAGAACTGGAGTCCAATATTAAGTTAGTTAATAATACCATCTGAGCAATCCGTTTGTAGCACCAGTGGCCATGTACAACGAGGAGTCTCTCCAAAAATGGGAATTGTGCAATAGCAAAGTCACTTGCCATCACAGCCTGTAACAAACTATTACTTGAGCATGATTTAAATCTGAATTTGTTTATATTTTCCAGGAACAAAATAATGATAAGTAGAGCAAAACAATATAGATTTTCACAAAAAAAATCACTTGTAGTCCAGTAGACGGTAGTTCTGTGACTATTAGGTCATTCTCACTTTGAATGCATAACTTCCATTTTTTTTTACTTTTGGTGGATGAATAAGTGGTCTAGAAGGAACAAAAGTGACAAGAAACCCATAGTGTGACTGTGTTCTAGAACTCGCTAGGCGCTGGTCGGGCGGTTAAGGGGTGTCTAGCGCCTAGGCACCGACTAGGCCGGGTTTTTTACTATTCCCTCATCAAAATTTTCAAAAATAAATAATAGTTCATAATAATTAAACGTACCTGCATTCCTTCCGCCCCACTGATTCCAACACCAATATCTGCTTCCTGAATCATTCCAACATCATTTGCACCATCACCGATTGCTAAGGTTGTTTTACCTGTACCCTCTTTAACTAACCTTGTCACCTATTATGCAACCAAATAACATTTTAAAAAGAGGCACACACACACATATTGAGGTAAAAGAGAAATCTTAAACGTTCGGAGGAATCCTACCAATGCCTTCTGCTTTGGAGAGACACGACAACAAATGACAGATGCACAATCAACAGCTAAGTTCAAAAAATGATGCTTCATATCATTTTCCAAGGCATGAGTTAGTGTTTTCCCATCAATAATTAGTGCGAATGCGGCATGTGGGTCCTTTTCAAGTTTCACCATTTGGGAAGCATTTGTCATTTGCAACAAAATATTCTCCTTGACAACCTGAGTAGGGACAAACAAAAATGACGACTGCCATTAATTATAATAAGTTTCCTGACAATCTTACATTATCATTTTATAAAAAAATTACCCCTTTGGATTCTTTGTCAGTTGCATCTGCATTTGATGATGAAATGCAAATTTGTTTCATGCCCTGCCTAAGTAAACTACAAGCAAATCTGCATGAAGCAAAACTTTATGTTAATCATAGTTAAGAATAAGAATTGGAACTAATTTAATCCAGAAGGCAGTAAGGGTTATCCAACACTTATATAGGGGATCACTATTTACTCAAAATACTATTTTTCCTATTTAACTTTGGCACATAACTTTAGAAACCCATAACTTGAACGCAAAAAGTGGGAAATGAAAAAATTAAAAGAAAAAGTTACTTTTTCTGAAAATAAGAAGTTAATTATAGTTAAATAAGGTCAAACAGATTCATTTGATCCTTTCAAATTTTTAAGGAGGACCTCATCATAGCTATAAGTTAGGTCATGATGTTGAAGTTTTGGTTTATTGGGTACATATTAAACCAATAATGATGCAAAGCCTTCTTCCTTGTTGTGGTAACCCACCCTATATTAATTGCAGTTTCCATTTTATCTCCTGTAAGAACCCAAATCTTTAGCCCAGCTTGTGCCAATTTGTCTATGCATTGAGGGACCTGATGGATGGGAATAAGGTCACAATTATAATTACGACAAATTACAACAACATTCTATTAGCTGAATACTGTGATCATTGAAGAGAAAAGATGAAATGATAAACATACTCCTTTTTGCAGTTTATCCTCCACGGCAGTGGCACCTACAAGAATAAGATCTCTTTCCATCAAATCAGATATCCTCTCAAGCATTGCTTCCCTATCACCTCCAATTGAGGTTTTTGCCTTTGTGAACTCTTCATTCCATGCAGAATACTCTGCCTCTTCTAGCTTCTTGTATGCAAGGGCAAGTGTGCGCAGTCCAGCTTCCCCATAATCATTCAAATGCTTTGTCGTTGCCTCTAGATACATTCTCCCATTTTTTGACAATCTCTCAAATATAATGCTGTGGAACTCACATAAATAGCATGGATGTGTTAATACCATTTTTATGTAATTAATTAAATTTAAACTCCCTAATCTTTGTACCAAAAAAATTAGTACTCCATCCGTCCTTTAAAGAACTTCATGTTTTGCTTTTGTAGATGTCCCTAAATAAAGTCTTTTTTCCTTATTTGCTAAACAAATTTCTATCAGCTTACTCTACTGTCCTCTAGTAATAATGATTGCACAGTGTCAAACAATATTCAAGTTGTCAAACGGTGTCAAAATAATGTACTCTACAGTAAAATCTACACACACTACAAAGGACATTTCAGGAAGTCAGAAAAGAAGAAAAATTACTTCCTTAAAATGCCTACTATTCAAAGTATAAAATTTATATTGGGAAAGAGTGAGTACTTTCCAAAAAGACGCATGCATTAAGCAGCCCTATGAAATTACCATTCTAACCTTTGTTACGTTTAACATTTAATACATTTATTTCTTTTCAATATGGAAAGAGTTAATGAGATAATAAGGACCTAGTTGGAATAGTAGTGATAAAAATATGTATTGAATTCTTAAATCAAAATTATTTTGGGATGGTTATTTTCCAAAATAGCAATTAAGATGGGATGGAGGGATTAAAAATATGGAACAAGAAACGTTTGGATGGTGCCTTTTATTACTTCTTAATCCACAAATATTCACATCTGAGTATTAAGCAAATTTTATTAGAAACATATAAATCATGTACTTTCTCAAATTGCCCCTTATAAAGATCCCAAAATGCAAATCTGGTCAATACAACACAATTAAATCAAAACATATATAGGATTTGAGCTCCAAGATTATTGAAGTTTGGTGTGAGGAGAGTCCATGAAGAAACTACAGTAATATAGTGATGGCAATGATCTCACCTGTCTGCTCCTTTGCAGAAGAGAAAAATTTGTCCGCTCTCATCCCGGATTATAACAGACATTCTCTTCCTCTTGCTTGTGAAGTCCAACAAATTGAGAACTTTAACTTCCCTAAATATTGGCATAAAAAAGAGAAGGATAGAGGAAAGTAAGATTCATTATCAAATATATTTAGGAAAATTCTTATAGGTCAACTCGGGCCACAACTCCTACTATGAACCAAGCTACAAACTACAGAAATGTTGATAATGATTATATATGTGTCATACTTTTTATATGAAAATAATGATTATAATGGACGTGTCATCTCTTGATTGATTTGGTGCTGCACTATTATGGCTGTGAAACATGTAGACCTATAAGAATTTCCTTTATACTAGTAACAGAGAATTCTGTAAGTCACTCCGTTGAATACATAAAATTTCACCTTTCAACAGGCTCATGAAAAGAAGGATATCTTTCACGGACAACAATGCTCGATTGAGTTCTTTTACAAAACTCAAACCCAAATTCTCTAGCCGCAACAAGAAATGAACCCTCATCCGGTGACTCAGCTTCATAGTTGAAGAAACCGGCTTCCTCATTAAATTCGGGAATCGCGGTGTGACAAATCGACAGTATCCTGAAGAATAACAATATGACATCGGCATTTGGTTCATTTATCCAATTCCCATTCATCAGTTGGTCATCCTCAAAGCTAAACCCCTTAACACAAGGTTTTTTTTCATCCTCATCTCGACAAGTTATGACCGTCTCCAACTCAATATCTGATGCCCCATCAAACCTAGTTCCACGAGGCGTGCTCTCAAAAACATCTTCATCATCATTTTCCATTGCCATCTGCTTAGCGGCCGCAAGTTCCACGTCACTAGCACGTTTTCCATATGGGGTCCCACCAATGGAGCATTTTAAGAAATCCATCTGATTGCATGTCAATGTACCCGTTTTGTCTGACAGGATGGTGTCAACCTGGCCCAGCTCTTCGTTTAGATTTGACGTTCTTGCTTGAGCAGGAGTCCCAGACTCTTCGTCATACATATGAACATCCTGGTTTATGAACAATGCTTGTAAGACCTTCACAACTTCAATGGAGACGTAAAGGGATATGGGTATTAAGTATCCATATAATAAAAGAGCTGTGACTAGATGAAATATCCCAGACAACTCTGGTTTGTTTGGGTTATAGAGGATGTTACTCTTATCCTCAGGTTGAAGATACCACCAACTAGGCATCTGGAACTTCGTCTTTAGAGCAAAACCGATTGAACTAATCAAAGAAATCAAAACTAGGAGGGTGAAAAGAACATAAATGATTTTGTCCATCTGTCGTTCGATTTGACTCCTTTTTGAAGGTGATTTTGTTGAGTTTTGCATGACTTTGCTGTCTTGCCCGGTGAATATCACAGCTCCGTACACATAAGCTGTGTTCCTAAGCTTTGAATCTCTAAGCAAGATTTGACTAGGGTCAAGAGGGTAAACTTGTCGCTCATATTCAAGATTACCAACAAAAGTGTAAAGATTTGGGTTTGGATCTTCACATTTTATAACTGCTCTGAATTCCTTGAATGCTTCATCGTCTTCCAAGGGCAACGTTACCTCCAAAGCTCTTTTTACCTGTAAAATTAAGTTGAAAGTTTGTCTAAGGATTAATAGATATATATTAGCTACCAATTTTTAGGCTTTTTAAAATAGGATTAAAAGTAAAATCTAGCTAGGGGTAGCATAAACATGTTTGGGGTCATATTGGAGAAAAGTTTCTTTTCACCTTCAAGTTTGTCTCCCCATCTAAGTTCATCGTCTCCACATAACAGATTCCATCTTCATAACTGGAAGAGAGAAGTAATAAATCTGCAGGGAAAAATCGATCCTTTTCCACTTTGACAATATCTCCAACCCGAAGCTTCATCCATGGCTTATGACCAAAACACCCACTGTCTCTTTTGTGAACAGTGGCTTTGCGCAAATTGACCTTCATGTCTTGGATGAATCTATTCCAGTCTTCCAAAGCTTCCTTTACCATACTCAAACCAACAACAAAGACCAAGGGGGCAATCATACTGACAGCCGAGAAGGGTGAGACCGGTGTGAGAGACAGAATGGCAGCAAGGAGGAAGTACAAGTTTGCAACACGCCTGAATTGCTCAAATATGGCCTTGGGTATGAACGTGATGAAATTGTATTTTGTGGTTGAAATGTAATTTGTACAGTATTTGAGGGGTTTCACATCATGCACTTGGGGTTGGTTGCAATGCACTACTCGTGAAAATCCGGGGCCTAGCCGGTGGGGTCCCACCTCCTCTGCAGATCGCGGCCGGATACATGCAAAGGTGTATAGATTGCTCCGGCGAAGCTTTGCCCTTATCCTGCCTCTTGGCATTTTTTTTAAGTTGATTGCAACAAGAAGCTCACTCTACTCGAGCAGTTCAGCCATTAAAACACCACCGCATGCTGCAAAGCATACCTGAGTATAAATCATCAACATTCATTAATACCTATGCATAAAAGAAAAGATTTATCCACAAATATGTATATGCCAAGATAGCCGTAGCGTCAGCGATAACGGTAGCGGTCATCACGGTAGCGGACAAATATATCCAAATTAAACGAATCTTGATTATAACATTAAATTTAATAAGAGAGTTACAACAAACGGATTAAGAAACTATGTACCTCCACACATTGAAATTTCACATCTAAACATTCAAATACTTTAGTTTGTATAGAAACCGGCTTCAAAATCACCATATGGAACTTTCACCGAGATTAAAATGAACAAGGAGCAAATGAATTCCCAAATGTAACCACAATTTCGCCAAATAAGAAAAATGTCATTTTTTTATGGGGGGGGGGGAGGGATTACCGCATAATCCGCACGTTGCATAGAGATGGAAATTCAAGAAATGCATGGTGTTAATGATACCAGAAATAAGGAAGAAGATGAAATCCAGAAGCAAACCTAGAAAGATAGGTGACGAAGGGATGGAGATGGCAAGGAAAGAAAAATGAAATGAAACAGAGCATCTCCATGTTCCAAGTCCGAACCAATTTTCCAGCATTTTAGGAGACTCTCGTGCTCTCCTCGCTCACTCTTGCTCGCATAAGCGTTCCTCTATTTCCTATTTTCTCATTCCTGTTTATTATTGGTGAGACAAAAACATACAAACTTTATAAAATTAGGACTTCCTCAAGTTTATTCCATCCGTAATATTTATTTACATCTGTTTTAGGAAAACTTCTTTTTGATTTCCGTTTTTACCCTCCCGTATTAAAGATGAGAAATTTCGGCAACGACATCTCAATCTCCAGCAACGACTGTTTTCTCTTCCTCTGTTCTTCGTCTTTGTAATCATCCAAGCTCACGCTCTTCATCTTTGTAATCATTCGATCTCATTTCTTCAATTTCAATCGACGTCATATATGCTCCATTAGTTGTTGTGAGGCATCACTTGCTACTTCACCGACCTTCATGTGTTGCTCAATTTTCTGCAGTTTTTTGTAAGTTGATTCTGATTTTTTATAAAGCTATTACAGTAGATGTATTGATGTATGAACAAATTCGTTTATACTATATTTCGTATCAATTTCGTCACCTTCAAGTTTTAATTCTCATCCTGACCTTGAAATTGTAGTTCAAAGTGTTTCTCTTATCTCTTGAACTTCTGTTTTTTTCTACTTCATATAGTTCTTTGGTGAATTAGATAGAACCGGCTATAGTCCAAGAACTTGCTGAAATGGAGGGTTCAACTTATGCATATTAAGTGTTCGACAAAAGTCATGAACCAGAAATCAGTGTACTCCCCACCGGAAAATAAACTGGACCGCTTTATTTCAGACCAACAGGTGAACAAGGGTACTACCCAGGGCATGCAACTAGTGTATTTCCCACCCTCTGGGGATGACGTTTTACTCTCGGATGAAGAAGATATAACGTCATTGGTTCAAACCTAGAGATACTTCCTCCGATCCTGAGATGTTTTACTGAAAAATTTCCAGATTTTAAAGATGTTGACACTTTGGTATCGTCGTGGGGGAGTCCCTTTACTTGTAAGAATCATATCCCGATATGAACTTCACTCATTTGTGTGTTGTTCGTTATTTTGAAGTTTTTTCTAACTTCCATCATACCCACATAGTTGTATGTTGTTTGTGTTGATGATGAATGCATCTAGGTTGTTCATGGAGTGATGCTTTCTGGAAGTCATATGTTCTAGATTAGATGGTACATGTTTTAATTTTACAAGTGACATGTTGTGTTCATTCTGAATTTTATATACTACCTTTAATTTTATTTTAATGTCTTTTTTTACTTGTTTAAGGACTATTTAGTGTCTATACTTATCTGAGTTTTTGTGTTCTTGTTTTCAGGTTTGATTCTGGCCATTCATATTCTTTTGATTTTAACATCATCAGCAATCCATGTCTAAAATATGCAAGCCGCATACATATCATGTCTTACACGCCAACCTGCTACTAATTTCAAGTTTGAGGTCATGAACATCAGACTATTTTTAATGTCAAAGACAAAACACGCTCATGTTGGGAGTTTCAATTGGAATAGCTCATACGTATTCATGGTGTTGCAGCTATGGATCAACGTCAAAGATTGTCGTGTTATGACAACATCTCATAATTATTTATTGTAATGATTTGTTGGAAATTCAGCTTATGTTAGTTGTCATGGTTTATTGACATTGAACATCGTGTTATTTTCTTTTTCGTGTACTCAAATTTATCAAATAATAGTTCTTTCAAAACTAGCTAATGTATATGAAATTAATGCCTTTTTACTGTCTCATTACTGACCACCTCTTTTGTACCTATTTATTGTCTACTCCAAAATGCATTTAATTAGCATACCAATTTCTTTTACTCAATTTGCTTCTCATTTCTTCCCTTGTCTACAAGTCCAAGTTTCCAGATACTATGTTTGTGAAACAATTGTTTGTATGAAATGTTTTAGGTACAATAGAAGAACTCCCTTTTTGTACAATAGACGAAGTTTATTAATATCAGCAACAACTGATTTATAAATTAAAAGAGAATAGTTATTTTTCCACATCAGATTTGTATTTGAAATATTTAAGTTACCTTTAGATGATATAACTAAAAACTTGATTTCTTAATTGCCTTCTTTTAAGACTTCTTTCTTCAATAATTTGACATTAAAAGATGTATGTGGTTGCATTTTGAATTTTGATTTGTAACACAAATAATACGTTACATTAAGTGCACTTTAATGTCTGCAGTTTGACATAAAATAGACATTAATATGGATCTTAATATAAAAGATTTAATTGCATCAGTACAAGTACAACATAACCACGTCCACTTAAATATGTCCAAACATGAAACAAATGTGCAAACAATACATATTGAATTGTCAGATTATATATTAACCACCACAAACGTGCTCGTTTACGATACATATGACAAGAACCGCTTAGTAAAGCTATTTTTGTTGATGCACATAAAAGTGGTCCCATTGTCATCATTTCTTGGTACATCTTCATGCCATTCTTTGAAACCTCAGTAGTTGCCTTATCCAGCATTAGAAGCTCAGCAATTTTATCACAAATATCATTCAATTCCATCTGTAATATGACAACATATATATTAATTTCTAAAGCATTCTACCCGTACATTTAAGATGAATTGAAGCTTTTAAGTTTATGGTGTATATACCCATCCTGCTGTTGTAGACTTTGCGCACCATTTCAATACCACTTTTACTTTCGCATTGAACAATACTGTGATCTTAGCCAGTTCATAAACTAAACTTTCATAACTCATCCTCTATTTTTAGCTTCTTAATTTCAGCAAAAGCTTCATATAGTTTCTCATGTCATGCATTCATTCCTCTCATATAATAATGCTCTATATATAAATTAATAGTGCAGACTAATTTATCATTGAATTTTCCCAGCCATCACATGCTCAAGTACATGCCAATTATAGTCAAGAAACATATATAAACAAGCACTAAAAGTACTCCCTCAGTTCTTTGTACTCTATAGTTCTTCCTCCACTTGTTAGTCTTTTTTCAAATACATGAATTGCATTAATAGAAATTTGATTGTAAGAGGCAATAAACCAGAGACATACCTTAACCAACTTTAGTAGCATGAAATAGATTAGGGAAAAGTGAGTACACTTAGACACTAATTGCACTTACCTGTAATTGACGCATATTGGGCAAATAGAAGGCATGTTAGGGTTTTCACATATATACCTTACATATAGTCATTGAATAGATTACCTGACTAGATTGAAGCACAATTTTCCTACTAATCTTCTTTTTATTGTGCCTCAGCTTCAAAATCTCTGTCAGGATGTTCTCCTTTTTCGGTTTTCTCAACATCCGTATCATCCAATTGTTTCTTTGGCTTTCTTCATAATTGACGGACTTGCTTTTTCGTCGTTCCTTTCTGGTTGCAATTTGGAAGCTCTAAAGAAGAACTTTGGTCTACAAATTTTCCGCCGAATCTGTGATTTTGGAAGCTCCAGAGCAGCTAGTTTTTCCGCCATGTCTGCGATTTTAGAGTCGAGTGATTTTTGATATGGTGGAGGCGTGGAGCTGTGTGATTTTAATTTAAGGGTATAACAGTCAAAATATATGCAGTTTTGTCTTACGGATAATTAGTGTCCTAGTTTTGGAAACTTCATGTGATTAGGTCTTATTTGTATAAATTTCCCTTATTATTGTGGTTATTACTGACATGGGATTTTTCTTTTCTTTTTAATAATATATACGTAGTAAATGTATGTATATACAAGGAGTCCCAAGAAAGAAATAAAAATGGTGGGGAGAGAATAGTAGCCTTTGATTCAAGCAAAGGGATGACTACAAATAAAGAATAGTAGTAAAAATAAAGGAAACCTATTAATTATGGATAATTAGTGGTGTATTTAAAATGAAAATATGTATAACAATGATTATTAAAGGGCTCATGTGTAAAAACACTATGTTAATACACGTGAGTAATAAATTTGGGAGAGCTTTTCGGTTACAAACAATTTGCACCTCTTATTTTACAAATTCAGATCACTCAATTAGTTTTCATTTATGTTTTGTCTGATGAGATTCGTAGCCATGAACAAAACCATTATTTTTCAGTTACAAACAATTTGCACCTCTTATTTTACAAATTCAGATCACTCAATTAGTTTTCATTTATGTTTTGTCTGATAAAACTCGTAGCCATGAACAAAACGAATACTGTAGCAGCTATAAAAACTACACTCTAACATCATTAGAATAATGTGACATTAATGTATCACTTAATCATTAAAAATAATTCTATTATGCACCAAAAAATATTTGAAGCGCACTTTATAAAGATCTAATAAAATATGTAATTTTTACATAAAAAATCCTTTCCCCAAATTAAATATTTATTTGAATAAATCACACATATTAGTACATACGTAGTATTATTTACCTAAAAAGTGCAGATCTCAGAGGGCCTACTTTAATAAATCATTTCATATTTACCGAAATGTGTACACCATAATTAGATTATTACTTTGATGCACTCGTCATATATTCTTCATGCACTTTTCATCATTTTTTTATACCTATTTTGCAGATACAATTGACACTAAAAGACACCATCATAATTAAATTATAGAAATTGCTTAATATAGGACTAAAATGTTGACAAAGTTTAAAAATAAAAGTAATGAATTTTATATCTCAAATTTGACTTATTTAATTATTAAAAGAATAAAATAGACTAAAATCTCCCACTATAAGAGTGAATGAGTCCTACTTTGTAAATATCTTTCTTTTAGTTCTTTTTAGGGAATTTTCTAATTAAATAATTATTGTGCATGAAAGGAAAATTGCATTTTCTCTCTACAAATGTCAATGTAACATTTCATTAATTTGATATGTGTCGACATAGAATTTTTCCAAGTGTGATATGATAGTGATTTTTTTTAAATGTACACGATAGTTGTTAATTTACATTTGTACGTGTATATTTATTTTCATTTTATTTATAAATACATGGAAGTGCATAAATATTGAGAGTAAAGTGTTGATTATAGAATGTCCAAGCTAATGAAATAAGAGTAAAGGAAAGTATAATAAAAGTATTATTTCTGTTTAGATTCATTTCACTGATGAATGATGTTAATTCTTTAAATGACTATTAATGAAAAATAAACATATATTATTTCTAAATAGTTAGTGCAACTAACGGGAAAAAAAATAAACTAAAACGCATCAAATCAAATGGACAAATAAACGAATAATGAAAAAATACATATTAAAACAAGT